AAAGTAGGGACGTGTTATTTTCACAAGACATACATAAATACATACATACATACATACATACATACATACATACATACATACATACATATAGAGAGAGAGAGAGAGTGAGAGAGAGATTAAACAGAGCATGAAAAATATACCCCAGACCCTAAACCCTGTGACATTCTTAAGGCAGGTATTGAGAAACCTTCCGCCTCCGCGGCCTCTGCTGCCTCGGGACCGTCGGCTGCCGCCTCCTGGAATCCGAGGTTGAAGGTAGGCCTTGTAAGGGTTTTTTCTTAAGGGTTCTATAAGGTTTATAATGCGAATAGGGTTTGTTTAAACTGCTATAAATGTTCCCATAGGGCCTAAGGCTCTAGAGTTTGAAGCCAGGCAATACTGCATCTGTCGGGCTCCGGCGTTTGGTTTCTGAGGGACGTTGACACGCCACCACTGACCCGCTCTCCCTTCTGTGCCTCGTAGCGCGCTGCTGCGGAGCCGGCACAGCCCATGGGGTCACTGTCATGGCCAATGCAGGCGGACAACGCGAGGTTGAGAGTTCGGGCTCTGAGGGCTTCGGGGATGAGCACCCTTAACTGTAAGTCTTTGAGACGTTCCGTGGAGGGTGACATGGTTGAGGGCTGAAAGGTTGAGGCATCGCAGCTGAGGAGAATCCGGACGTACGTTCAAGAGAACTGGGTGAATTTTTAGGCCGTGCTTGTTGGACAGAGCTTCCTAAAGAACACAGAGGCCGTGCAATAGGCAGCCTTGATGCCAATCTGTGTAATGTGGGATACTCAGAAGCAGAGCAAGAGTTAAGACATGCGTTCTTCTGCTCAAAAGTTGCTGTGCAGTTCTGACTGCTCATGCCTTCAACACACAAGCCGTTAGACTCGACTTAATTTTCATTCAAGTTCATGGTCCAAATCGCGTTCCAAAACATCGGCCTAGACTTGACAGCACTAGGAGACAGCATTTCCTTCGGGCCTTGCGCATCCAGCACATTAGCTCGTCATCTACGCGTGATTCCGGAGAACCAGGCTGCTCGGGCGGCTCTCTCCCTTACTCGGGTGTGCGGTGGATGAGCTTTGCATCCACGACCTAGGCCGTCCCGTGTGGAAGAGGCCCGGAGCTGTTTGAGTGCTTGTGACCGATTGTTGTCGGACGGCAGTGCTTCTTCGTCGCCACCGGTATTTACCAGCTACTCCTGCTGGATCTCGGGCATAGCGCTGGCTATGTTCTAACATCTGATCGCATCTCTTGGGTCATCGCCTCGGTTCTCACCACCTGGCCGTCGTCGCTCCTTATGCATTAGGTTCCTGATCTGGTATGGGAGTCCTTAAGCATCTGAGAAGCTTCTTCGAGCAACTTGCGGCTCTCCTTTGCTACCCGGAACTATCATCAGCTCGTATTCTGGGGCTCCTGTTCGCGGCTCGGGCTGTCGTTGCACTAACTTTGGCGCCCTGCCGGCTCAACCCTCGGGAAATGGGTGCAAGCGATCTGCTCCTTTGGCAGACAGGTCTCGCGGCACGGCCCTGGAAACTCGAAATTTAAATCCTCTGCGGAAAAGCAGCGGTCATGGCAGTGAGGCCTTTCGTCAAACCTAGTCTGAAACCCCCGACAACACACTATATCAACTAGAGTGAAAAATAATTTTAGATATTACAGCTTACAATGGTATACTAACCCTAAATAGGACAAAACCCCCTCTGAGATCCCGAAGCTCAGCCTACGAGTTCAGCTCACGCCTCGCCGAAGTCGCAAAGAGCGACGGGAGCGTGTCTGCACATCACCTCCGAGGCTCGGCGACGGTGTCGGGCTCAGACTTGACTTGGTGTTTTTTGGCATATAGTATAGGTTATAGGTTATAGATTACATATGATGTAGCAAATGCTATATGTTATGTGATGTATTATGCATCATAGATTTTGGGCTATATACCATTATATATATATATATACATACTACATAATATAACTAACTGATATTGATATTGACGGCTTGGGGCCTTGGACTTTTGGTTTCAGCTTCATTTGGGCTTTGGGGCCTTGTGTCTCCGAAAATAGGGGATCCAAATATAGTACCCTTAATAGTAGGATCCTTATTATAAGAACCCCAAAATAAGGCACCCCCTATTTTCGGAAACTCCCATGTACCGCGTGGGAGCTAGCGTAACCTTATGACGGGGCCGAGGCCCGTCAGCCCAGATGCCAGAACTTCTAACAGACAGGTTCCGAGAGCGTAGGATCCCTAAAATGAGGGAACCAAAATGTTCAGAAAGCCAAAGCCCCCCGGAAAAGAGCCTCGACAAGGTCGCCCTCCTCGATCCAGCCGCTTTGGTTCACGTCCAGCCTCTCGCGCATGGTTTGGGAGTTGGGGAGGTTTCGAGCTCGTTGTTTGGGTGCGGTTTTGGGCTTGCTCTTGGAGTTTGGGGACTGTCGGACTTGGGGCTAAGATACGGCACTTAGAGCGCAGACTTTCGGATTTGAGAGTTGGAGTGCGGATGTTGGCTTGAAGTTCGAGTCTAGAGGAGCCCAGACCCCACTACTGGTCATTGGAAAGGTCCAGGGCAAGCAACCGCAGGAGCCACAAGCCTGTACAAGTCCAGCATCTGATCTTAAAAATTACTGTTTTATGAAAGATTGCACACTTCTGAAATTCAGAGTTGAGGCAACTATCCCACACAATCAGTATCGTCACTGCCGGTCGAAAGCGCGCCTCGCCTCTGGCACGCGACTTCAACACCCAGTTCAGATGCACCGCCGAAGGCGGCGAACAAAGGCCGCGCCGCCTGCCAATTGCTCCAATTGCTCTGCTTGCTGACTTTCCCATTTCGACAGCGCGGAGCTGATAATATTTTTCTTCCGTGCAATCACATAGAACGGTCTTCTTCTTCTTGTGGTGGTGGCGAGGGTGGTGGGCATGCTGCTGGTGCTGGCGGTGGGCATGGAGTGGCGGTGGGGAGCCGCAGCGCCGGTGGTTGCAGGCAGTGGCAGCAGCAGGTGGTAGAAATTGGTGGTGGCGTGA